ACATTAACTGAAATGCTTAAATAATTTTAGCCTACCTTATATCGTCCGTTATACATTAAACGCACATGCGTAAACGCATTATGCGCATGCATAAACGCATATGCGCATAAAGTTTGTAGCTTTGAGGTGCAGATTATGGACGTCCGGATTACAGACTTTGTACTGTAGTTCTTAATATTAGGAAAATAGTTCTAAGATAGGTATTCTGTACTGAGGAAATACTGCAGAAAAAGAGGAAAAGTTGGTTGATTTAGATAGCCTTTGAAATTTTTTCTCTTGGAAAAAAAGTAATATTTAGCACATTACAGTTCTCGAACATATATAGAAAGTTCCTATAATGCAAACTAAAATGCAAACAAAATATGTACAATTATGGAGAAATGGAACACTTATTTGGGTGTAATTGTATATTCTAAAGGGGTTATTCCTCATTTTAAAGGGTATTTAATAAGGAAAATTTAACTGATATAATGAGTATTTATGAGTAAATTTCTGTATTCGAGATGAATGAAAGTTAAAATATTCGAAAATATAGCGGAGATTTTGTTAAAATAGCTCTTACTGTTTCTTTCTTTGGTTCGTTCTGTAAATATAAGTATATTGGTAATCATATATGTTGTGTAAAGATATGGTAGTGTTTCACAAGATTTCGTTTATAAGAGAATAAATTGGTAAATAAATTAATGAAAACTGGCACTCACGAAAGTCTAAGAAATTAAAAAATACACTATATATGCAATTGTCTAGGGAAATTTAGTTGGAACTGAACTAGGTTCGAAGAAATGTGTTAACATTATGCACTAGAAATAAAATTATATCGATTAAACATAATTTCAAGGGATGAAACGATAACCAATGGTAAAATCAATGGTAATTCACCTCTGATTGTTTATCTTAAGAATTTCTTTTATGTGTGGAACTTAAATAATCGTTAATTTCACATGAATATTGTCCATGAAGGCAGAAATATCCGTACTTAGTGCAGGAAAAAGGTAATAAAATGAAAATTTGCATAGTCGAGACATTTAAAGTTTAAAAATGATGCTGTGAATGCAGTGAATTAGCAAAAAATACTATTAAAAGGTATTAAGCGTTCAAAATAATAAGCAAGATTTCTGGATGTGTACATGAAACAGTGAATATGATTCTAAAATTGTATATGAAAGCTCAGATTTCATTCTAAAAATGCGGAATCTATTAAGTTAGCTTAATGAGAATCGAGGTTCAAAACTGAACATTGTTAACACTGAAGAGCTTAAAAACATATATTCAGATATAAAGGTTAGAAGGAAGTACCAGAATATGCAGGAAACGTTAAAGCATGAAAATGTAAGATTAGGTTAGGTTATTTAATTACGGCAAAGCCTCGAGGGAAATCTGCCTAAGGGGAGCGATGCCATCGTGGAGGACTTTCTAAGGGAAACTGGCTCGTATACACATGAGGAAAACCACGAAAACACCCATGCAGCCAGCCCGTTTGCGGGATTCGAATTTCACCGACTTTACCGCTCGGCCGTTGGTGGGCCATGAAAATGCGAATGAAGTTAATAATGAAGTAAAATAGTAGAGTCAGTCATGGTAAGAGTGCTACAGAATGATAAATTGTATAGTTGGCAAATTAAAATAGCACTATAAAATACAGACTATGTAAGGGCTATTCAACGAAATGGATATGAATGACAGTTAAAGATTATAAAATAAAATGCTTAATTGGAAACTATCTCTATGTTTAAGGAATTTAAACATGTAAACTTAGCTGAAATAGTAAAATCTAAAGTGTGATTTCAGTCGAAAATTATAAAAAAGAGTTAAAATTTAGCGTATGTTGGAAACTAGAAGGAAAAATGGTGTCGGAAAAGTAAAAAAATTACATCTAAAATTAATTCATGTTTGTGGTAGGAAAATGTAATAAACAAGCTCAAAATTAGAGTACTTTTAAAATTACGAAGGTTTGAAATGTACGAAACATGTTGAAAATAGCATGTAAAATTAAATAAAGTTCATATATATGGTAAGAAAGTAGAGGAAATAAGCTAAAACTAAGAGCCTGTTTGGAAATTACGAAGGCTGAAAAGTATGAAAGTAGTTAAAAATTAAATGAAAATCATGTACATAGTGTGAAAATATAGCAAATTAGTTAAAATTCAGTGTATGTTGGAAACTAAAAACGTTAAAAAATAGAAGAAGTTAAAATTATTTAAAATTAAGTCAGGTATATGATCTGAAAATATAAGAATTATATATTAAAATTAAGACTATATTAGAAATTATGGAGGTTAACACGCGTGAAAGAAATCAAATAAAAGTCATGTATATAATGTGAAAGTATAAATTAGTTAAAAATTAGGGTATCTTGAATATTACGAAGGTTAAAATGTACAAAACAAGCTAAAAATGTTACACCTAAACTTAAGTAAAGGTCATGTGTATGATCAGAAAATATAAGAAATAAGTTAAAATACAGAATATGTTGAAGATCACAAACGTTAAAGAGTACGAAAAAAGTTTAAAATTACACCTAACATTGAATAATATAATACAAAAAACGCTTATTTTAGTAACTGCACTTCTAAAATATAGCAAGTATGTTAAAAGTATTGGTCAACAAGTATGAAAATAATTCTGGGTAAAATGAATTTAAAAATGAAAATGAGTAATGTAATTCAGATTATGGAAAGTAAATGTGGTATTATGAGCAGAAGATTTAGGAATTAAGGTAAAATTCTGAGTATATAGGAAATTAAAAGTCTTAAAAAATAAAAATATTTACATCTAAAATTAAGGCCTTCTGAATCAGTCATTAAATTCGAAAGTAAGCGCTGTTCAGGGCACTTAGGAAATAACCATCTCATACGTAGTAAAATAGTTGAAACAGGAAGAAAAATACAAAGGCTAAAAACTGATTAAGAAAAACCTTCCGAAAATCAATAAAAAATAATCTCTTATCAAAGTGTAACGTCATCTTATGGGCTAACTGAAGAATCAATAAGCACTCCTTTTTATCTGCTGCGCCTCCACTCTACAATCTCCGCCCCTTCCGGTGATATCATGCATGAAGTAACCTCCCTTTCGGGAACGTCACAAGCTACGCCCATATCGCACACCGTGTGTGGCAGAACTCTCATGTTCTATCTACTTGCGGATAACTAGTAACTGTGATTTATGGGCATTTATACGTATTTTCCACTTGCTGCACCAGAGTTCTATGTTTAGCATAGCACTTTGAAGCTTTTTAATTGCGTGATTGATATTAGCTGACTTTACCAAAAAGGCGATATCATCAGCGTAACAAGCGAGAATTTCATTATTATTTAGATGAATCCTGAGGAAATCTGAGACATAAAACAGGTAGAGTATGGGTTCTGAAACTGACCCTTGGGCTACTCCGCTAAGAATATTTCTGGGAGAGGAAAGATGAACTGAGACTCTTCAATTTCAACTACCGTTGATATGCCGCGATTTTCGTGCAAGCAATGCACGACGTGTTCCGGCTGTCTTGAAGTAAGCTGAGTAGAAGTCGAAAATGTAGAAGGGGAAGTGATTATGCATACGTGAGCAAATGGTGACATCGGATTGGCTGGGTTCTCATCTATTAAATTTAGACGCTTAATTTCATGAATAATTAAATAAAATAATTAATCTTAAGTGGAAGTAATCTTCATTTGTAACCTTGCAAGTTTAAAATAAACACAAAAATTAAGTAGGAAAATCGTGATTGTCTGTTAAGGAGGAATGCAGCATACGATCGCAGATTACGATCTTCATTTAAAATTTCATAATAAAATAAGTTGAAATGCATCGTATGGATGCAATCCAGTGCATTTTGGAAAATATTTCTAGTTGGTCTTCTGTAAATACTTGGACAGCGATTCGATATTTCGATCTTCTTGAAATCTTTTTATTTCTGGCAAACATGCTAGCATTATTCATAATTCTGAGGAATCTTTTTTGCACAGTTTGTAGTTTTTTTATGTCATTTCTGGAAGCCGTTGTCCAAGCAGGAGAAGTACTCGTATATGACATGATAGGTCTTACAGTGGACAGATAAATCAGACGTTTTTTGGCAAGATCTAAGTTTGAATATTTACCAATGAGAGGGTAGAGACATTGCATAACTTTAGTAGCTTTACGTCTGATGTGCTGGATATGATGGGTCCAAGTCAGTTTGTTATTTAAAATGACACCCAGATAATGAACTTGCTTCACGATGGTGACAGGTTCGTTGAAAGAGTAAGATTTTTCTTATAGGGATATTTTTCTTTTTCCTTCTAATAATAAGGAGTTGAGACTTGGAAGCATTAATGACAACCTTCCAGTTGGCACACCAGGTTTCAATAGCAGGAATATGTTCTTGCAGTTTTCGGATGGCAGATTTCACAGCCAGCGCCGTGCCATCAACATAAAAGGTAAGCGTATTATTATTAATGCAACTGAGTTTGGGAAAGTCAGTTACATAAAATGAGTACAAAATTGGCCCAATTACCGAACCTTGGGACAATTCTGTATATATTGCTATAAAATTGGAGAGATCTATACCAACAGAGACACAGAAGGTGCGTTGAGTAATAAACGAGAGAAGCAGCAAGATGAGTTCTCTATCGAAGTTGAGCAGAATTATCGATAATTTGGTGACTAAACCTTCATACCAGACGCGGTCAAAAGCTTTGGCCACGTCTAGCATGAGAATAGCAACATTTAAATTAGCATGAAGTACAGCACCTGAGAATTCAATAATCCTGAATAACTGTTCCGTAGTGGACAGTCCTTCTCTAAAACCAACTATGAACTGAGATGACATGACTTTATAATGCCGAGAGTAGCTAGTGTAATTAACTAGCTGAGAAACTGAGACGTTCTTTCTTCGGCCTTAAATAGTTTTTAATGGGCCGCGCGAGATCTTTCGGATAGATTCTGCTTGTCGAGATTTCTCGAGACGTTTAGAAATAAGATGTGAAATAGCAATGTTTATATTGTATTTAAAAGGGAAATTTAAAGCATGAGTTTTCTACTTTGAAGTATTTAATTTTCCTTGAGAAAACGTTACAAAATAACAATCTTCAAATATAAACATTTTAGTCTACGATTAAGCATGAGAACGCTCTTCTGTTCCATTTCTTCAGGGATACCCTTCAGAAGGATCCATGCATACCCCAGGACTGTTGTAGCGATCTACGGCATTCATCTCCCTGGTATGTCTGCATTTTGTGCTACCTGCACAAGCATCACCTTGAAGTGTACTGCATACCTCTCCAGGACACTGCAAGCAGAGTAAAAAACAAAAAGTTTCAGCCTCTTATTGTAAATATCGCACTACAAAATTAGACTTGTATACAATATTTGATGCGCAGTATGTGGCCAAAAGTCACTAGATATTGTTTAACGGAAGGTAATATTGCTGTTGTCGTTGTGACTAATCACGCTTGTCGATATCAGAGCAAAGACACGAAATTCGTCGTGGCGATGAGGCAAGATTGCGCGTGTCGTCTGTATGGTGTCAATCTGTACGCGTGTCAGTCTGTATAGTGCCCAAGGCAAGAGCCTTGGGCACCATACAGATTGGTAAGACCTACGTAACGCTAGAGGGCGCTGAGAGCGCCATTGAGTGTGTTCAGTTAGTTGATGGAAGGTGTGACGCAGTGATGATGTGAGATTTCTGAGATTGTGATATTATTATATTTAATTAAATCAATTTATATTTCATTGATTGCCTTAATTCAAATTTATGTAATACTATGAACCACCACACTATTGAAAGTTGGATTACCACTGAATCTTCAAACCACTGATGTGCATTGGGTGCATCTCGGCCGAAAACCAGGTAAGAGAATCTTCACTGAATTATTGAAAATAATTATACCTGGATAGAAATTAAATATGGTTGAAAATCTGTCAAAGTTGAAGAAGAAATGTTGAAAGAAGAAACGTTCGATGTTGACGAAATTAATTAACAAAATAGAATTTGCTATCAGCAACGAAAACGAAACAGTTGATCAGTTCAAAGCGTTTTTGGAACAATTAATCGGAAAAGAAACTGACTTAAATTCTTTAAATGATGAAATTGAAAATCTTTTGAGCGTCGAGACAAATATCTGAAGATATAGAAGCTTCAGAAGAAATCAAAGAAAAATAATTTTTATGGAAATCGAAATTTCATTCTAAAATAAAGAAAATGAATTCTGATTCTATCCAAGTTGATACAGTTTCAGAAAACGTTCAGTTGATTAATAATGAAACTGAAAATATAAATATAAAATTGTCTAAATTACATATTAGTAAATATTATGATAAGTATTCTGGTTGGTTAGACTTTTACAATTTATTTGAAAGCTCTGTTCATAATAATCCTAAATTAAGAAAAGTTGATAAATTTAATTATTTGAAATCCTATCTCGGTGGTACCGCGGCAGCATGTATTAGTGGATTTGCTTTTTTAAATGATGAAAATTATGATAAAGCACTTGATTTATTGAAAGAAAGGTTCGGAAATAAAAACATTTTGATTAACACTCATTTGAGTGTTTTGCTAAATTTAACTCCGGTTAAAAATCCTAACGATGTTATAAGTTTACGAAATTTATATGATTAAACGCAGAAGAAGAAAGAAGAAAGAAACGCAAATCAGAAGATTAGATTCCTTAGGAATTACAGGTGAATCATATGCAAATCTATTGACACCAATTTTAATAAAATTAATTCCTTCAGAATTCGTTTTAAAATTTAATCGCATTCTAGGTAACAAAGAATTTGATTTAAAAAGTCTTTTGCAATTCATTAATAAAGAAACTCGAAGCCGCGAGAGATCCTTTCCAAATAATAATTATAAATCATAGATCACACTCACGATTCAAAGTATCAGGTTTCTATTCCTGGTTCATAGAAGAAAAGATAAACTGGGAATGAGTATGTACAAATGGATTAAATATGTTTAGGAGAGTGAATCACTACATTGGTTCCAGTATGGAGATGTAAAATCACAGCTGACCACCTACGTGCGGTCACTTTAGATAAGTTCCAAGTCCGATCGCCTACGCGCGACCAGTAAGCATCTAGTTATAGCTCCTTCACAAGCGTTTCTGTTAGACCGCTTGTGTCAGACTTACCGAACCGAAGTGAAGATGTGTTTACCTGAAGAGTTCCTACAGAGTAGAAATAGATAGCGACATCTGGTGCTTCGTTGAGGCACAATTCCCACAATAATTATAAATCATCGAATCAGCGAGTGCATTTATTTTCTCCGCGAGAAAAAATAAAAAGTAAAAATTCTACTTCCGTTAGACATAACTCTTCAAGACTTCCGCATAAGAGAGAGAATTCTTTCCCTCCCCACACACATGAATTCCTGGCGTCAGTCGAAAATGTAATGTGTTTATTTTGTAGCAAAGGTCATAAATCAGAAACGTGCTCTACATTTAATGTAAATGAAAAGAGAGAGATGTTGAAGAAACAAGCTCGATGTTTCCTTTGTTTCGCGCCAAAGCATCGAGTTGCAGACTGTTTGAAAAAGGAACTGTGTCCTCATCATGTCTCAATTTGTTTTTGAAATCAAAATAATCCACACATTATTTCTCCAAAAGGAGAAACCGATAATGTCGTATCGGCAAAAAAAAAAAAAAAAAAAAAACTATGTTACTGTTAAACATAGAAAATACCGTGGTTCGCAAAACAAATATTTATTACTGAGATATGCAGAGTAATACGCAGAGTTACATGCAAGCAGAATAATACTAAGTACAAGCAATAGCACAGATAAATAAGTACAGGCAGAATAATACTAAGCAAGCAGAATAACAGAATAATACTAAGCAGCAATAAGTGGTTACAAAGGTCATATATATAACTTCATAACAGATCATGGTTTAACAAATCATAAACAAGACACAATAACTAACCAATCAAAAGTAACATACAGAATGAGATTTAAGTTTCAGAATAACTCGGACCTGGCTGAAAGCTAATGAATGTTTCGGACTTGACAGAAAGCTATACTTCCTTTTAACCAGTAAGAATGCGATTACAAATATCTCAACACTCCCCTTAATCGCACTTATACAAAACATAAGAGAATTACACAATTTTTAAACAGCTCAAAGACAGTTCATAGAATTTTGTTTTGGACAAAGCCTTAGTTAAGATATCTGCAATTTGTAAACCTGATTGTACATATTCAATTCTAATATTATTTTCCTTAACAGTCTTATGAGTGAACTTTAATTTTATATCTATATGTTTCAACCTACCTGAAAAGTTTTCATTAACAATACTTTTGATACATGACTGGTTATCCTCAAAAATATAAACATTTTTAACAATGGAAATTTCATTTACTACATTTTTTATCCATAAAACATCTTGAATACCTTTACATAAAGCAATTATTTCAGCTTCTGTTGATGAAAGTGCAATACACTTTTGCTTGTTACAGCACCACATAATAGGACAATTTGAAAACATTATAAAGTAACCAGTAATTGATTTCCTATCTTGAGTATCTCCCCCCCAATCTGCATCTACATACAAACTCAAGTTTGCCCTTTCCAAATCACCCTTTTTGTATATCAATTTTAAATTTAAGGTGTTTTTCAAGTGCCTAAGAATTCTTTTTAGAGCACACCAGGCAACATCAGTAGGATGCTCCTGCAGTTGGCTCAAGCAATTTACTGCAAACACAATATCTGGCCTTGTGATATATGCTAAGTAAAGTAAAGATCCAATTAATTCTTTGTATGGGCCATGAAATGCATTTCCTTTCTGAAAATCAGCTGCTGTAGATTTTGGTTGAATGGGAGTTTGGGCTGTTTTACAATCAGACATTTTAAATTTATCAAATAATTTTTCAATATATGGTTTCTGATCTAAATATAAACAACCAGACTCAAATTTCAGTCTAATACCCAAAAATTCCGAGACACTTTCAGATTTTGATTATGTCAAAATCTGAAAGATAACAGTTCATAGAATTTTGTTTTGGACAAAGCCTTATTTTTACTTTCAGATTACTTACTTTCAGATTTTGATTATGTCAAAATCTGAAAGTGTCTCGGAATTTCAATTTAAGTTCATTTGATAACAATGAAATTATAATATTTGTTTCTTTTACATCTGAACCTGCAATTAATAAGTCATCTACATAAAGAGCCATAATTACTTTCTTACAATTTAAATTTCTGATAAAAATACATGGTTCAGAGTCCAATTGCTTAAAATCTAATTTAATAACAAAATTAAGAAATTTCTGATACCATTGTCGAGGAGACTAAGACCATATAAACTCTTTTTAAGTTTACATTTCTTACCACTCATATCATCATATCCTTTTGGCTGGTCCATGTAGATGATTTCATCTAACTTACCGTTCAAGAAAGCTGTCTTGCCATCTAAAGTAAAAGTTTGCAGACCTTCATTATTGATAATTTCCAGGATTAAACGTAAAGAGCACATACTAATCACTGGAGAAAACGTTTCTGTATAATCTATGCCTTCTTTTAGCATAAAGCCACGAGCAACAAGCCTCGCTTTGTAAGTTCCATCTCGTTTTCTACGTAGAACCCATTTGCAGGAAATGGCTCTTTTATCAGGGGGTAAACTTTGTAAATCCCAGACATCGTTATCTTCCATAGATTTCATTTCCTCGTCCATAGCTCTTTTCCATGGTTCTTGTTCTACTTGTGGTAGATTTACAATATCTTCAAATGTCAGAGTGTCTTGTGCAAACGTTACTTGGTAAATCTCAGGATCAGGATACCTAACTGGCTGTTTCTTTTTCTCTTGAGGATTTTCTTTGTTCCTCCTTCTTATTTGCAGCATTTTAATTCGCCGTTATCAGTGTCTGAAATTGATTTGTCTTCATTTTTAATGTCATCATTGTCATTTTCACTCAAATCAGAACTATCGCAAATACATTTTTTTGATTTTCTACTTTCTTCTTTTCTTCATTAAATTTAACATTTCTGGAAACAATGATGCGTCTTGTTTCGGAATCATTAAACGATTATCCCATTGTGGAATAACCTACAAATATCATTCTGACAGAATTTTCATCTAGTTTCTTTCTTTGCGATGGTGGCACTAGAGTATAAGCATCACAGCCAAATACACGCATGTTTTTTAAATCAAGATTTTCACCATACTTCAGAAAATAAGGAACATGATTGTCAATTGAACTATTTGGGAGTCGATTATTTATGTAAGCAGCCGTAAGTACTGCTTCACCCCAAAGAAATTTTGGTAATTTTGCCTCAAGTATCATTGCTCTAGCTT